TGCAGCCCCTTCCCCTCCTGCAGCCCCGTTCCCTCCTGCAGCCCCTTCCCCTATTGCAGCCCCTTCCCCTTCTGCAGCCCGGTCCCCTCCTGCAGCCCCTTCCCCTCCAGCCCCGCCGTGCCCAGGGACACCCATGCAAACAGGGCAGCCCGGGGCCGCCCTCGCTCGGGGGGCAGAGCCCCGCTCACCCATGGGGGGGGTGGCCAGCGTCTGCCGCCCCACCACCTGCGCCGGCCCCAGCCCGTCCAGGAAGTCGCTGAACTGGCTCTCGGCGCCCAGCCGCGTCGTGGGGAAGATGAACCTGGGCGGGAGAGACGAGAGGGGCACGAGGGCTCCGGCGGCGCCCGCGGCGCCCGCCTGCCCGCCCGCCCTTACGTGCCGTCCGAGCTGTTGCTGTTGGTGCTGCCGTCCGTGGAGTCGCGGCTGCCCTGCCGCGTCACCCGGCTCCTCATCTCCACCGCGATGCCGGTCTCGGTGCTCCGCCGGATGGTGCTGCGCAGCTTTTTGGGACCCCCCTCTGGAAGGAGAGCTGCGGAGTGAGCGCGGGAGGGTGGACCGGGCGCCGGGGCCGCCCCAGGGCCCGTTTCCCACCTGCCGGCCCCGCTTTGGCACCGCGGTCCCCGTGGCACCCGCGATGCTCCCTGGCAGGATCCCCCCGGCACCTCTGCTGCAACTCGGGTTTAGTGCCCCAAAGCCGAGCCCTGCCAGGCCTGGCTCAGGTGTGGGCGCAGCTTCCCGGTGCCCAGGGTCCGTTCCCAGAGCAGGCTCCGGGTGGGTTGCCATGGCGATGCTGGCCGCAATGCAGCCGGACACTATCCCGGCCCATGCCGGTGGCCCTGGGCTCCGGAGGGGACCGTGAGCGGGGCGGAGGAGCCAGGAGCCCCTGTGGCCTCCTCAGTGCCTTGATGTAAACAAATGGGATGTATATCGAATATAGGGTGCCCTCGCGTGCCCTGGGCGGCGGCACCGCCCTACTCGGCTCTCCAGGGTCCTCAAATCCCCCAGGAGCAGCTCGGAGGTGCAGGACAGGGGCCTCCAAACCAGCTCGCTCCGTGTGCAGCATCTCTTGCAGGAGCAAGCACTGCCAGCCGGGCCCGGCATAAAAACAAAAGCAGCAACTGGAGAAAAACCCTGTATCAAAATGAGCAGTTTTCCTCCCCTCCTTTCTCTCCCGCCCTTTAAAACTCTATTTTAGGCGTTTAAGCGCTTCCCGTAGCCAGAACATTTGACAGCTCCACGCTTGGAAGTGCCACCCACCCGTGGGCCCACGTGCGGAGACGAGACCCAAACGGGGCCGGCAAAGGGCCCGGTCCCACACCAGGACCCGCCGCGGTGCCGGGGAGCCCTTGGGTGCCTCCAGGAGCCCCCGCGGGCGGGCCCGGCGGCGCGGGAGCGTGCATTCCCGCGGGAACGTCGCGGCGCGCTCACCGGGCTGGCTGAGCTGCAGGGTGCTCCGGCTCCACTGGGACAGCCCCACGATGGCCACCATCTTGGCGCCGAGGCTGGAGCGGCGCTTCTTGGCGGCGTCGGCGGCCCCGCGCGCGCCCGCCTCCAGCCCGTAGACGTCGCCGCTGATGCTGGAGCTGCGCACGACGCTGCGCGCCGCCGCCGTGACGGCCGCCGTGGCCGCGGGGCCCGCGTCGCCCGCCAGCATGGCGAGCCGGCCCCGCGCAGCGCTGCGGGCGAGGGGCACCGTGAGCGCGAAGCCGCGCGCGGATAAGCACCCGGAGACAGAGCCTGGGGAATCCTTTCTGCAAGGGACACGGGGATGGGGATGGATGGGGACACGGCGCGCGCATGGGCACACCCTCACCCCACGGCCCTGCTCCGTGCCTCAGTTTCCCCACCAGGAAAGCGGATGCCGGGGGTCTCTCCCACGTTCCCGTGCCCCACTCCAAGCCGGCAGCCCCTGCGGCTCCTTGCCATGGATAAAGCGAAGGGAATGCGCACACATCCCGGGCTGCCGCCACGAGCCGAGCTCTGGCGGAGGCAAATTAGATCAGGGCAGCGCGGTGCTGCCAGGATCCTTCCCAAAGCGGCACACGCACGGATAATCCGCCGCAGAGGAGGGGATGCTCCCGTCGCCTGGACCTGCTCTGCCCGCTCCTTCCCTGCTCCCTATTCCCAGAGGTTCAGAGAGCATCGGGAGCCGCTGCCCGCGGCCGAGCCGCGCACGACGCTCTGGCCCGGCCGGCGCAGCCCCGGCTGCCTCCCCCGCTCCCTGTTTGCTCACGGATCCGAGCAGCAGCAGCAGCCGCAGCGCTCAGGGAGCGGCAGCCGCTTCCCGCTTCACCCGCGCTCCGCGGCGGCTCCGGCTCCTCAAAACGCCAGGCGCCGCGGAGTGAGCAGGGCTCCCGGGGAGGCGGCAGCACCAGGCTCCTTCCCGCGCCGCCATGCCCACGGATGCGGAGTGTGGGGGGGAGCGCAGCATCCCAGCGTGCAGCATCCTAACGTGCAGCATCCCGGCGCGCAGCATCCTAACGTGCAGCATCCCGGCGCGCAGCATCCCAGTGTGCAGCATCCCAGTGTGCAGCAACCCAGAGTGCAGCATCCCGGCATGCAGCATTCCCGGGAACGGCTAGTGCCACCATCCCTGAGCTGCCGGCGGAGTCGCCCCCCGGCTCCAAGCGCCCTTCCCCACGCGGGATGCAGGGAATGCGATGGGGATGCAGCGGAGGGGATGCAGGCGCAGGGCGATGTCCCCGCGCACGGGCCCGTCGCCCCTCGCCCGCCGCCCGTGCCCGGCGCTGCTCACCCGAGGCCGCGGCGCCGCCGCTCGCCCGGCCGCGCGCGGGGAGCCGGGGCGGCCGCGCGGCTCCGGCGCCGCTCCCGCATCTCCATGGAGACCTCGCTGACCCACTTGCGAGGCGGGAGCGGAGCCGGGCGCGGGGGCAGCGCCGACGGCTCCTCCCGGTGGGGCCGAGGGGCTCTGGGGGGTGAGGGGCCCTCGGCTCCACCCGGAGTGTCCCCGCGGGATGGGGGGACTGAGCCGCAGCCGGGGGCACCAGGAGTCCAGCTCCTGCTTGGAGCATCCCTGCGGGATGGAGGGACCAACCTGGGAAAACTGGGATTCCAGCCCCAGCTCCGAACATCCCTATGGGATTGGGGGGCTGAGCCACAACTCAGGGTTGCTGGGGGCCAGCTCCAGCTTGGAGCATCCCTGCGGGACCATGGGCTGGAGCCGCAGCCCAGGGCAGCCAGGACCTCGGCTCCAGCTGGGAACATCCCTGCGGGACCATGGGCTGGAGCCGCAGCCCAGGGCAGCCAGGACCTCGGCTCCAGCTGGGAACATCCCTGCGGGACCATGGGCTGGAGCCGCAGCCCAGGGCAGCCAGGACCTCGGCTCCAGCTGGGAACATCCCTGCGGGATGGGGACCCCGAGCTGCAACACGGGCCATGCGGTCGCAAGGACGCCAGGTCCCCAAAGGAGGACCCCTGTGCCACGGGGACGAACCCTGCAGCTCCGTGAGGAATGGCCTCGTAGCAGGAGGGCATCACGGCCTCCCGGGCACGCGGATACCAAAGGTGGGGGACAAGTTTTGATGGCAAAAATGGGGCATTTTGGCCCTGGGGAGCGAGCCCAGCTGGGGGCTGCCACAGGTGGGAACAGCCTGATGCGGGGCAGGAAGGAAGGGGATAAATCTGCAGCCCAGGCTCAGCTGGGATCCTTGGGAGAGGGATGAGGCTGAGGGATTGCAGGAGACCGGCTGCTAGGGCCACGCACCGGAGCAGGGGGATCGGACCGACGGACGGATGGGTCCTCTTGCCTGCACTGAGACCTTCCTCACCCATCGCATCCTCTCTGCGGTATCGGGAAGCGTTTTGGATGGAAGCAAAGAGAGGGCAGCAGCGACACCCCCGGGTCTCTATCCTTGCACCTAGAGCCCCCCGGGCTGCTCTGAGCCCTCCCGGGAGCCCCGGCTCCTTGCAGGCAACTCCTCTGAGCAACACAAAGTTTGTGCCGCTTCTGTCCTCTCGCACCACCTCTTTGGGGTGCAAAACCAGAAACCCTGAACTGAACGGATGGGTTTAAACCTCCTCAGTGGGAGAGGCAAGCGGAGCTGGAGAAGTGGAGAGCTGCTGGCCGAGTTTCTCCAAAATGAGCCTTTTCTGCAGCCCTTCCTCCTCCAAGCTACTGAAAAGGCCCCGGAGGCGCCAGGGGCTGGTGGTGCCGCGGTCCCTGTCTGTCCCTGTCCCTGCCTCCCGCCTGCTACTCCGCTCCGGTCTCTGCTGGATCCCGTTTGTTTCCCTGGCAACGTGGCAGGACTGGAGGAGGAGACGCAGCCCCATGGGACACGGCTGGGGGACACCTGGGTCCCCCCCCCATCCACCACCCGGCTCCGCTGCAGGACCATGGAGCAACGCGGGATGGGGACTGGAATGTCGGAGCTGCCCCATTCCCGCACGGATGGGCCCATGGACGGCCCCATTCCCACATGGAGATGCTCCAGGTTCGGGCCCCGCGGGGGCTGTGGCGGGGAGGCTCGTGCAGCTCCCGGCTCCAGGAAGGAGCTTTTCCCGGCAGCCGCTGCCTTCCCGGCCGCGCAGCTCCAAGCTCTGCAATGCAGCTCGCGTGGCTGCTGCTTGCAAATCCCATCAATATTTCATGGAGCTGCTTCCTCCAGGGGAAGGATGGAGATCTCTGCCTTTCCGCTCCTACCAGTGCTGCTGCTTTTGCAGAGAGCAACTGATTGCCTCCCACCCAGCACCTCCGGTTTTCTCCCCTTTCTTCAGTATCCAACTCCCGTCTGCCTGTCAGGGGGTCTGCACCCCACAAGGCACAAGAGCTGCGACGTCTCTTTGGGTCTCTGTTCAAGTCTGGGGCATCTTTTCCCCTGGATTTCCTGAGGATGCTCCGCGCAGGTGGCACCAGCTCCGCAGGCGCTTCCAGTGCCCTGAGCCCAGGTTGGCAGCCGGCAAAATAAGTCGCTTTGCAGGCGCTAAGACTGCAATATTAGAGCAAAGCTCCTTAAGGGCTCAGCAGGAAACTCACTCGCCCGCCGGGGACTGATCCAAACGGAGCGGTGCCAAGATGCCCTGGGAGCAGGGCCCTGTCACTGCCCTCTCCAAACGATCCACGGTGCATTGGACACCGTGGGCACTGCCACGAGCAAGAGCGCCCAGCAAGAGCTGGGGAAGAGCGGGATCTCTATCCCAACGGAGCCGGGAGACCCTGAACTTGGAAGCAGCAAGCACAAAACAGCGGCAGGGCTGTCAGCCCGGCGCTAAATCACTTTACAGCAATTACCAAACGAAGCTGTTTCCTTGCCATTTGAGAGGTGGTGACAAAACATTGCAAGCGCGTTGAAATGGATGCAAGTAGACGGTGCCGCGCGACTTAGGTTTTAATAAGTGAGGAAATTAGGCGTTTTCATAACCTTAAATTGCATCTTGTGACACTTCTCAGGCGGTGGTGGCACAGCCAGAGCAGGCAGCAGCGCGGGCCGGCTCCGCTCTGGGTATGAGCAGATCTGCAGGGGGACCTTGGAGGCGGCTTGGAAGTTCGGCCACCACCACCCGCGACCCAGGACAAGGGAAACGTGCAGCCAGTGGTGCAGTTTTGCTCTCGTTTTGCTCTGGTTTTGCTCTGCTTTTAAAGTTTCAGGGAGGATATCGCTCCAGATGAGCCTGAACGTGCCCCAGCTTGGTGCAGACAACTGCACCAGGGAGGACCCAAATGAGGGCACCAGCCGGGCAGGGCACGAGCATCTGTGTGGCAGTCTTGGCATCAGAGAAGCCGCTGATCCAAATATGTGAACGGGAGCAGAACCCGGCACACGAGCCCTGTGCCTCCGAAGGGACCGGCCTCTTCCCTCCACCCGCGACGCTCCAAACTACATCCCGTCCTCGCGTTCCGTGTGGGAGCGCGGCCGCCGCGGGACTCCCAGCCCGGCACGGCACGAGTATCCCCATCCGAGCTGCCCTGTCCATGTTGCTCCTCCGGCCCTGCTCGGCTGGTAAGTCCTTCCTAAGCCATTCCCTAAGGGATTTACGTGCAGGACGAGCCATGGTGCCATCCCGCAAGGAGGACAGGGGGCTCGGGAGCGAGCAGAGCCGAAGAGGCTCCCAAAAAGCAGCCTCGGGACGTGCAGAAGCTCCAGAGCAGGGAAGCGGGTGCCCGGCGCTAGGCGGGTCAGAGCAGGGAGCAGATCGGGAGGGAGGGGGCTCCCCCCAGCCCCGGAGCCCCCCCGGCTCGCCGGTCCCGTCCCGTTACAACAGGGGCAGGCGGTACGGGACGGAGTTGACGTCAAGGGGCTTTCAGCGGGGATGATGGATGAGCCGGGAACGCGGCGCCGCTCCCGAGGAGCCGCCTGGGAAGCGCTGCCCCCCACCCCACACCGGGAGCGCTCCGGTGCCCGCGGAGGGGGGGGGGGCAGCCCGGCCGCAGCCCCGCGCCCCCGGGGCAGGGAGGCTCCGCGCGTGTCCCGCCGCGGCCCCGC